CGAGAGACAGTCTCTGTCCCCAAGAACTTAGCATCTAAGGCCTTGCCTAAACTTGGGGGGGGGAAACAGCTGTTGTGCTTAAAACCCTCATAGCATGTAGTGTAGACAGTGTTGAATACTTCTTTAAAGGCACTAACAGGACCCAGTCAAGACTCGTGGGGAACCTTGGGGCTAAACAAGGCCCAAACAGAGGCTGGGAGAGTAAATGGGCACAGAGAAGGGGAAGGGACTTGCCCAGGGTCACCCAGCAGGTCAGTGGCACATGCAGGAATTGAACCCTGACCCCAGTCTAGTGCCCTTTCCACTGGACTGTGGTGCCTCACTCCTACCATGCAGTGCTGTGTGATCACACCACCTGGGGAGGTTTAAAAATCAGCTGCCGTTGAGTTACTGCAGCACAGAGAGGGATGCAAACAAACTGGGCAAAATGGAAAACTTTCTCTTGATGTGCATAACTCAAAACTCTCGTAACTTTCTCATTTTCAGTGGTAGCCTCTAAGCCCCCTTCGGCTGCTCCGTGCACCACTGCTGATACTGCACCCTCTGCAAGGGCCTGGGGCCCAGTCAGCTGGGTCGGGGTCCAAGATAAATGTTACCGGTTCCCAGCCGTCCAAGCAAACTGGAGCTGCTGCCGGAGCCACTGCTCTTCCCTCGGTGCCTCCCTGGCTGGGATCAACAGTAAGCAGGACACGGTGAGAGAAACGCACAGATGCTTCTGTCATCACAACAGCCTGGGCCTGGCAATGAGTGGTGGGGCTGGAATCAGGCTGGGAGGTCAGAGTGAGTGAGACCCACCCTCCTTAGAGCCCTAGATGGGTGAATCCCCCTCTGTAGGGCCTGGCCAACCGAGTCTGCTCTTATCCTTGTATGACCGTGAGAAGTGGGGATCCCACTGAGGGTGAGGCCTCCTTTCACACTGAGCCGTCCCTTTGAGGCCCCCTGCCCTGCTGTGGTGGGAGAGAGCACAGACTCCCTGGGCACAGAGCCCTGTGGGGCAGGGACCAGTGAGCAGGGCTGGATACCTGCTCTCCTCTGCTTTCCTCATTTCCCCAAGGTTTTCACACTGCACTACAAGGGTTTCCCTGATCACTGGATCAGTCTCCGGAGGACCCAGGCCAGGCCTGGAAATGGGCCAGTGGCACTGAATTCAAGCCCAGGTGAGTTCCTCCTTCCCGGTTCCTGATGGGGAAGGAAGAGGGATTGAATCCAGGGCTTCTGTGCTGCTGCCAGGCAGGAGCGAGCGGTGGGATCCCTCGCCTGGGACTGGGGAGAAGGTGGAGGCATGAAACGGGCCACCGCAAGCCCAGGGAGCACAAGAGTCCTGGGATCAAAGTTCCCGTTCAGTCCATGGTTTGTGGTGTGCAGCAGAGTTATGAATGTAAGTGCCCAGGCTTGGCTTTGGAAGCTGTCGGGCAGGTTTCCTTTGAGGACGAGGATGGAAAGATCAGACATGGAGTGATCATTGTGTGACAAGTGCTTGCCCACGGGTGACTGTGTTTGTCTGTAGAGTATGGTCCAATAAAAGCTGTTACCTCACCAGCCATGTCTCTCTCAGGTCCTGGGACCAACACGGCTACAACCCCACTGCAAACAACACAGGATCCGTCTCTTTTGGCCCAGTGAATAGTTAATTATTTATACAACATGGCCGAGCTCCAACAGGAGAGACTGAGCAAGTCAGACTCCAACTCAGGCAGAGCAGGGATGTGGAGCTGGGTCTCCTACATCACAGGTGGGCTCCAGAACCACCAGGTCATGGGGGGGGGGGAAGGGGGAGAGGAGGCTTATGCCGCTTTCAGAAAGGAACCAAATTTCAATGTTTCTCACCCAGTGGAATAATTGTTGTTTTCCAGCCAGCCCGAGCGCCAGGCCAGGGGAACATACAGGCCGGCTTTATCCTCCGCTGATATTTGTAGCCTGGCTCTTACTCCCCACTGCGTTCGCTGTTCTCCTGCAGAACCATCCGACTCCCTCCCCGGCCCATTCATCCTGTTTGGACAGGAACCGTTCTAGAGGTTGTGCCAATGTGGCAGCTTCAGGGACATTCACAGCCAGTGACGGGGCTATTTAGACAGCCCAGGAGTTACCCTGTTCCAGCGGATGGAGTTACACTGGTGTAAGTGAGAGCAGAAGGGAGATGCCTGATGGCTGTGTGAGTCAGGGACTCATGCCAGGGCTCCATGTGCTGCAGCACCTTGGCCTGTCTGGCCTATAGGACTGAGAAACTTGGACTTCTGGTGGCTGAAGCCCTGAACTAGCTGGACCTGCTGGGCAAGGAGCAGGACTACATCCAGGGGAGCATGACAACCTGGCTGTGATCAAGGAGCTGTGACTGGGAGGGGTGCAGAGGTATCAGCTGTAAGGATGCCAGGGGTGTGGAGTGCAGGGATCTAAAATGGGGTGCAGAGATGTGGGAGGGGAGGAAGTGCCAGGGGAATGGGGGGGGGGGCTAGATAGGGAGGGGCTCCAAAGGCACTGGCTGTGGGAGGGAACGGTTGCAGGGATTAGGAGGGCTGTGTGTGCCGGGGGGGAAATGTGCTGGGCAGAGTACTGGCATGAGGGAGGGGAATGGGGATGCAGGAGGGCAGGGGTGTGGTAGGTCAGGCAATCTTGGCTGCAAGCATATGGGAAGGGACCAGTGTGCAGGGAAGAGGCAGAGGTAGATTAAGGTCTCCTGGGGCTCTGGGCCAGAGCAAGTGGGGGGCCCCTCCCCACCCCTTCTGCCTATGGTCCTACCTCTGTTCTCCCCCTTCGGCCCTGCCCCATTCCATCCCTTCCCCATTGCCCTGTCCCTGTTTCACCCATGGTTCCTCCCCAACAAATCAAGACCTTGCATCTGAGTGGTTTTTCCAAGCTTGCTCCAGTTGGGGATTCGCATGATTATTATTTAATCTTATGCTGGATTTGTGGATTGAGTGGGATCATAGTGAAACTAAGAGCATCAGCTGGAGCCAGCCACGGCCCAAACTTCTTGTACACAGCTCTGCTAAAGCAACTTTGTTCTGATCTGCAAGGCCCCAGCCATCCCTGTACTGGGCCTCGGAGCTCTGCCAATACAACTTGCTACTGCTGCACTCACTTCTCCTCCAGTCTTGGTATGTCCCGGCGCATCAGCCAACACCACATAGTTCTGTAAAACCCAGACCACCTCCAGCTTTGCCTGCAAGAACCAAGATAATTACCATAAGGCGGAGGAAGGAAGCTTAATACTAACGTGCATTAGAATGAAGAACTAGGAATGAACAGAGCTGGCTGGATCCTCAGCTGGTGTAAATCAACATAGCTCCACTAGAGTGCCGCTGAGTTACATCAGCCAGAGATTTGGCCCTTTGCTTCTAAGGCGTAAGTAGGGAGGATGGGGCAATTCTTCTCTGGGGTTTGAATTTGCAGGAAAGGGATCAGCTCAGAGAGACAAACCCACTTCCCTCCTCTTTGTACCTTGACTAGACCATTAGCATTTTACACTTCTTTTGTCCTCCTTGCTCAGCCACTTTTTCTCATCTCCCCCCCCCCAATGCTTAACATTTGTATTAGGAGCTCAGCTCCGGTCTAACTCCCCCCATTCGAATCGCTGACACACACATCAATAGGAACATGCTCCGGCAGACTGGATTCACTGGCATTAGAGACACCCTACCGGGGAGCAGGGTCAGGGCACTGGGGTGACCATTTTTCCAGTGCCCCCCAGTTGGCACAGGCCCTGTTAGCCCAGTGGCTCATCCACCGCTGGGAGGGGGGTCTCTGCTGGAGCTTTGAGGAGGGGCCTGACGCGGACTCTCCACAAACCAAGCGCAATGGTCTGAGGTCTGCTCTGCACTACAGCCCCGCACCGGTCTGACGCCCCCGTCGGGGTGAGACAAAGCCACGTCCCCGAGTGACTGGGGTGATACCGCCCCGACAGCCAGCACCGGCCGGGTGCGGGAGCTTCTCCCGGGGGGGGG